GAAAGGGACGACCCAATCACGAAATAATTAGGCGCTAAAGCGGCTTGCCTATTACACGGAGGGTAATATAATTAATGCCGATATTATACCTGCCACCCTCCTCGTATCCCCGGGAGATCGTGCAAATAAAATCCGGGTATCATCCTGGCCAGCCTCGTATGTGTACAGAGAGAGGGAACGGGCCAAGCTTTTGCCGGATTCACGAGTGGATAATATTACGCAGATGGTACTCGCGTATGGTAAAACGCAGTGACGAGAACGAAACTGATAGAAACGAGAGAGCCGAGCGTGGCGACAATCGTACGTCTTCTTTCCTCGATTCCTTGGAAAAGGAGGAGAGCAAACTCGAACTAGTGGAATTTTTGTGAAACGTTTGTGTCGCGAAACAAAATTTTAATTTTATTTCAATTCTCGAGAGCCGTGGGAAAGTTTAATTGTTAATCTTCGGGTTGAAAAATTATCCGGGGAAACTTATCTCACAAATCCCATTTTCCCGCGTAAATTCACACCCTCGGGTGTGCGTGTAAACTCTCGTCTAATTATATTGGAAGGAAAAAAGAGAAATATGTATATCGTCGTCGTAGAATTAATTTTGCGGATCGGGTTGAGTCGCGACTATTCGACGATAGAAAAAATTCCGAGTTGTTCGAATGCAGCTGGCCGAATGCGAGCGCAAATACAAACAGAGTCGATTGCGTTTCGCGCAAAAAAAATTTGTCAGCTCGACGACGAAATAAAATTTTGTCCCCCATTTTATTTTTCCCTCCATTTTTCGCCACTTTTCCAATCATCGTTATTCCCTTAGAAATCGGCCGAAATCGTTCCTTCCAATTATAAAACAAATTCAAATGCTTGGTAATGAAATAATAAAGCGTATTGGGTGAGCGTGAATTATCGTGAATTCGCAAGAGGGAGGAGGGGTAGTCTTTTCGTTCTCGTCTCTTCGAAACTGGCTACTTTTTAATCCCCCGTTTGCAAATTATCGCGAAATTTAAATCTATCACATTAATTTAATACCATCTTTGAATAACGCTTTTAAAATAATATATTTAAGGGGGAAGCGATAATGGTATTTAAGAGTGATTTAATTTTGGTATACAAAATTGGTATTACCCCTCCCCGCCACGATATAGTGATCGTTAATTACATGCAATATCGGATTAAATCTGCGACAAATTTGATTTCCTGTTGTATTTATCGGTTTTTAATATCTTATATGTTGGCGAGCGTATTATACGCGCATTACGTGTAGTGAAATTTTAACCATGTTTTTATTTATAACAAATATTCGGCTTCGAACGAGTATCAAATGTGCGCGATAAATGAAAGGATAAAATATCACATATTATACATTCTTTCATGTATCGACAAAGATTATTCGACGAAGATTATTCGACGCTTTTCTTTTTTTTTTTTTTTTTTTTTTTCGATAAAAATGATCGATTTTACGAGCTGTGAACTTTCTTTCGTCGTAGAAAAAGTAATTTTTTTTTTAATTCTAACCTAATCAATTTGAGACCGACCACGCTCGGCCCACTCCACTTGTCCACTCATAATCTTCTACTCGACTGCCTTTTTCTACTTACTCGGTCGATAATCGAGCAAAGTTTTTAAAAATTACGAGTTTTTAAAGATTTCTTCTAAATTTCTTCGTCGCATTGTACATTTTTTTACGAATGATGTCAATTTTCTAATTTTCGTGCAATATTTTTTTTTTTTTTCGATAAAAATGATCGATTTTAACGAGCTGCGAACTTTCCATCGACTTCCTCTTTCCACTTGCTCGGTC